GAGGGAGAAGCAGACTTCCCGCCGAGCAGGGAGCCCGATGTGGGGCTCGATCCCAGGACCCTGGGATCATGACCTGAGCCAAAGGCAGACACTTAACGACTGAGCCACCTAGGCGCCCCTACAATTTTTTTTGTTTAGATGTTCTGTCAACAGCTGAGAGAAGGATAGAATCTCCATCGACAACTGTGGTATTGCCCAATTCTCCCTTTAATTCTGTCACTTTTTGCTTCATGTATTTTGAAGCTGTTATTAGATGCATACATATTTATAATTGTTATATCCTCCTGACCAATTGATCCTTTGTCTTGAAATGTTTTATCAGATATGTGTATATCTGCTCCAGCCACTTTATGGTTACTGTCTTTAATCACATTTAAGACTCTTACAGCTATTTTTCTACACATACTTTTTCTGCTCTCTTCTCTTTTACCCATCAGGGGCTCTAATTACACATATGTTAGAACTTTTGGTATTGCCCCACATTTCAATGAAACTCAATTTTTTTGTTTTTCAAACTGAATACATCTTATTGTTCCAAGTTCATTTATTCTTTCTTCTGTTATCTTCACTATTAAATCTGTTTTGTATTTTCAAATTCTAGACTTTGTGTTTTATTCCTTTTTTATGGTTTCTAATTCTCTGATGAGACTTATCACTTCTTACATTGTGCAATTATTTTAATTCAGTGACTGAGAATAATTATACTAGCCACCTTACAACAAGTTCTTATCTTCTAGTTCCATATCTGAGTTTTCTTGGAGTCTCGGTTGATATTAAGATGCAGTACACAAAACCACTGTAAGAGTAGAAAGATTAGAGGCACCTGGGTGGCTTAGTTGGCTAAGCGTCTGCCTTTGGCTCAGGTCACGATCCCAGGGTTCTGGAACCGAGCCCCACATCGGGCTCCCTGCTCAGTGGGTAGTCTGCTTCTCCCTCTCCTCCCCGCTTGTGCTCCCTCTCGCTATCTCTGTTGCTATCTCGCTCAAATAAATTAAAAAAAAATTTAAAAATCTAAAAAAAGGAGACTAATAGGAAAAAAAATTTTTTAGGACATTATTTTAAACAGTTTTGGGAAAACTGTTTTCTTCTCTGTGGTAAAAAAAAAACAATACTGAATCCCTAACCCAAACTACATACAAATGTGAACTCCTTCCTCATGGATTAACAACCAAATCATAGAAGGAAAAACCATAAAGAGGAAATAGAAGAATATTTTTGAACTTAGAAGTAGGGATGGACTTCTTAAACGAAAGGCCAGAAAAAGACCATGTGGCCAAAAAATGCTAAATTACATCAAATTAAAGATTTCTGCTATTTCAATAAAGGACAGCATAGATAAAATCAAAAGTTGGAAAAAGATATTCTTAAAATTTGGAACCAACAATATATCTGAAAATACATGGAACTCCTGAATAAATATAAATCTTTAAATAGATATTTAAATAAAATGTGTGTTACATTACTTGAAACTATTTTCTGTGGAGGGATTATTGTTTCAAGTTTTAAAGTATCACAAAGGTTCATTTGTGATACTATAACTGAAAAATTAAGCATAGTTTTCCATTCCTCCCTTGATTCATGTAATAGATTATCTTAATTTTCTACTCATTTCCCTGCCAATCTTTCTTAGTCTTTGTACATTTGTCCTCCTTTGTTTACCTAGCATTCAGTCCTTCATCCTTCCTTCTCTAACATTTCCCCCCAAATAGCATGATATTAAGGAAATCTAAGGGTATGTATTGCTTGTTCTCAAGTAATGTGCTACTTAAAGTTGAGAAGTGAAATGACAAAATAAAATCCCAACATCTGAAAAAGGTCATTCTCTGAAATATCTTGATCACTTATATATATTATTATTATATAAATTATGAAACATAGGTCACAGTGGTATTTGTTCAGCAAGAGTATACAACAAAAATCAAAGATAAACTATGAGTGTTATCACTTGGGAGATATGCATCCACTACCATATTAAATCATTTCTCCTATTCATGCTAAATATTGCTATGGCCTGTGTCTCTCATAACTTCCAGGAGAAATTTCATACTCCTTCACCTACACGCCAGGTCTTTAATGACTTTTTGCCTCCTAGCCTCATTTCTAACAGACTTACATGCACCCTCTATTCTAGCTATATAAATAAAGAAAGTAAACAAACAAAAGGCCATGTAGTTCCCTGAATGTGGCATCCTGTCCTGTATGTGTTCATGATTTTACTTCCACTGCCTGGAATAATCCTCACCCATCTCCAACTAACTAATTAAGTACATGTAGGTATAGATTCAGCTTAATCCTTAAGCTTAAATTCCTTCTTAGTAGACTTTGTAAAGATTATTTTTAATGACTGTCCAATAGGTTCATCTATTCTTTTACTGCTTTATGTTGTTTCCAACTTTTGTTCCTTCTGCTAGAATGTGCATAGCTTTTTTACTTTATTTTTTAAAAAGATTTTATTTATTTGAGAGAGAGAGACAGAGCTAGTGAAAGAGAGCACAAGCAAAGAGGAGAGCGAGAAGCAGGCTCCCTGTTGAGCAGGGAGCCCGACGCGGGGCTTGATCCCAGGACTCTGGGATCATGACCTGAGCTGAAGGCAGACGCTTAACCGACTGAGCCACCCAGGTGCCCCTGGGTTTTTTCTTCTATTAAATATTTGCTAAAGATAAAAATCTCAAGATAGTTGGTAAATCCAAATTCCACATTAAGGGTTTTTCATGTAAGATAATTTTCAAAATAAAAAAATGAATTAAAAATTACCATCACAATTTTAAAACTTTTAGATCAAATCAATAAAATTATATATAGACACAAATAGGCAAGCGATGCCAACAAATGAAAGTGTTTGTATTTGGAAAGCAAAACACTAAACCACAACTAATGCGTAGTATTCAAAGTGGTTTTGATAAAATATAATTTCAATTTAAAAAATTACAAGTTAAGAACATATATACAGATATATACATGTATAAAACATACATCTAACTATACATATGGTATATGTATAGTTAATATGCAACTGAGATAATAAAATAAGGATGTTTAACGATTTGCTCACCAGGACTTCCTCCATCATTAAAATCTGCGTTCCTGGGTCCTACAGAGGGATAAATAGGAAAGAGTAAGGATGTCTTCCAGCCCAGCCTGTCTGGCCACATCAAAGATCTCTGTATCTTAACAAAACGCAGATGATATTTTACCTAGAAGTAGCAATAGGAAAGAAATCATGCTTAAAACATATAAACGGAAATGCACATATTAAAAAAGAAAGATAAGTCCAAATGGGAAAACACACAATTTGAAAGATGAGACTAATCTGATGTCACAGTGATTCTGAACACTAGGAAATGACAGTGACTGAAAGTACAACATAAGTCCTCCAATCATAAGAACATCTAAAGTCCTTTCAGAATATAGTTCACAAAAAGACACAAAAATGGCCCATAAATATATGAAAAGCTTCTCAATGTCATACAATGAAATAAGTATAAATTAAAATTACAGAGATATGTCTTACGCATCACACTGGAAAAATCAAAAGCTTAACAACATGCTCCATCACTGAAGCTGTAGACAAACAGGCACTTTAATACGTGTGGGATGCAAAATGGCACAACTATAATGGAGAATCTGGCAATGTTTAATAAAACTACACATGCATTATGGTTTGATTCAGCAATCCTACTTCCAGGAACAGACTTGGAATATACACCTCCAACAACATAAAGGAAACATGCACAAGTTTGTTGTAACATTATTTGTGGTAGAAATATATGGGAATCAACCTAATTGCTCAAAGGAGATGGCACAAAAGGTGGAACCTGTACACAACAGACAGCTATGTATCTGTTCAAGCTACAGTCAGAAAACAGAAATCATATTGATCATACTAGATAACCTGAAAAGGTAAATGCTTTTTCTACATCTACTGAGGATCATATGGTTCTTATTCTTTCATTTAATGTGGTGTATCATGTTCATTGATTTGTAAATACTGAACCATCCCTGCAGCCCAGGAATAAATCCCACTTGATCATGGTGAATAATTCTTTTAATGGACTGTTGGATCCTATTGGCTAGTATCTTGGTGAGAATTTTGGCATCCATGTTCATCAGAGATATTGGCCTGTAATTATCCTTTTTAGTGTGGTCTTTGGTTTTGCAATCAAGGTAATGGTGGCTTTGTAGGATGAGTTTACAAATTTTCCTTCCATTTCTATTTTTTGGTAGTTTGAGGAAAATAGGTATTAACTCTTCTTTAAATGTCTGGTAGAATTCCCCTGGGAGCCCATCTGGCCCTGGACTTTGGTTTGTTGGGAGATTTCTGATTACTGATTCAATTTCTTTGCTGGTTATGGGTCTGTTCAAATTTTCTATTTCTTCTGGTTTCAGTTTTGGTTGTTTGTAGGTTTCTAGGAATTTGTCCATTTCTTCCAGGTTGCCCAGTTTGATGGCATATAATTTTTCATAGTAGTCTCTGATAATTCTTTGTATTTCTCTGGTTTTGGTTGTGATCTTTCATTCATGATTTTATCTGTTTGGGTCCTTTCTCTCTCTCTCTTTTTTTAAGATTTGAGAGAGAGAGAGAGCACAAGCAGGCAGAGTGGCAGGCAGAGGGAGGCAGAGGGAGAGAGAGAAGCAGGCTTCCCGCTGAGCAGAGAGCCCAACACAGGACTCGATCCCAGTGGGATCATGACCTGAGCTGAAGGCAGACACTTAACTGACTGAGCCACCCAGGCACCCCATCCCTTTCTTCTTGATAAGTCTGGCTAGGGATTTATCAATTTTATTAATTCTTTTGAAGCAGAAGCTAATTAGTTTCATTAATCCACTCTGTTTCATGGTTGTTGTTGTTTGTATATCATTTATTTCTGCTCTAATCTTTACTATTTCCATTCTTCTGCTGGCTTTAGGCTTTATTTGCTATTCCTTTTCTAGCTTTTTTAGGTGTAAGGTTAGGTTGTGTATTTCAGACTTTTCTTGCTTCTTGAGGTAGACCTGTATTGCAATATACTTCCTTCTTAGGACTGCCTTTGCAGCATCCCAAAGGTTTTGAACTGTTGTGTTTTCATTTTCATTTTCTTCCATGTATTTTTTAAATTCTTAATTTCCTGGGTAACCCATGCATTCTTTAGTAGGATGTTCTTTAGCCTCCATGTATATGTGGTCTTTCCAAATTTTTCCTGTTGACTTCCAGTTTCATAGCGCTGAGGTCTCCATCTTTTTGTACCAGTTGAGGGCTGAATTGTGACCCCGTATGTGATCTATTCTGGAGAATGTTCCATGTGCACTTGAAGTGTATTCTGCTGCTTTAGGATGAAATGTTCTGAGTATATCTGTTAAGTCCATCTGGTCCAGTGTGTCATTCAAAGCCATTGTTTCCTTGTTGATTTTCTGCTTTGATGATCTGTCCATTGCTGTGAGTGGGGTGTTAAAGTCCCCTACAATTAATGTATTATAAATGAGTTTCTTTATGTTTATTATTAAGAATTATATATTTGGATGCTCCCAAGTTGGGGGCATAAATATTTACAATTGTTAGATCTTCCTGATGAATAGACCCCTTAATTATGATATAATGCCCTTCTTCATGTCTTCTTACAATCTTTGGTTTAAAATCTAGTTTTTCTGATATAAGTATGGCTATTCTTGCTTTCTTTTGACATCCATTAGTATGATAGATGGTTTTCCATCCCCTCACTTTCAATATGCAGGTGTCTTTAGGTCTAAAATGAGTCTCTTGTATGCAGCATATAGATGTATCTTGTTTTTAAATCCATTTTGATACCCTATGCCTTTTGATTGGACCATTTAGTCCATCTACATTCAGAGTGATTACTGAAAGATATGAATGTAGTGCCATTGTGTTACCTGTAGAGTTGGTGTTTCTGGTGATGTTCTCTAGTCCTTTCTAGTCTTTGTTGCTTTTTTTTTTTTCCTTCACTCAAAGAATCCCCCTTAAAATTTCTTACAGGGTTGGTTTAGTGGTCATGAACTCCTTTAGTTTTTGTTTAGTAAACTCTTTCTTTCTCCTTCTGTTCTGAATGACAGCCTTGACAGATAAAGTATTCCTGGCTGCAGGTTTTTCCCATTCAGTATGTTGAATATTTCTACTCTTTTCTGGCCTGCCAAGTTTCTGTGGACAGATCTGCTGTGAACCTAATATGCCTTCCCTTGTTGGTTAAGGGCTTTTTTTTCCCCCTTGCTCCTTCCAGGATTCTTTTCTTGTCTTTGTATTTTGTGAATTTGAATATGATATGCTTTGGCAATGGTTAGCTTTTGTTGAATTGAATGGGAGGTCTCTGTGCTTCCTGGATTTGATGTCTGTGTCCTTCCCCAGATTAGAGAAGTTTTCAGCTATAACTTGTTTGAATAAAGTTTCTGTCCCCCTTTCTCTCTCTTCATCCTCTGGGACTACTATGATATGAATCTTACTACATTTTAAGAAGTCAATGAGTTCCCTAAGTCTACCTTTGTGGTCCATTACCTTTCTTTCCCTCTTCTTTTCAGCTTCATTTTTTTCCCATAATTATATCTTCCAGATCACTGATTCACTCCTCTACTTCATCCATCCTCATTTTTATGGCCTCCACTTGGGATTGCATCATTGTAGCATTTTAAATTTTGGCCTGAATAGATTTTAGTTCTTTTATCTCTGCAGTAAGGGATTCCCTAGTGTCTTCTATGCTTTTTTTTCAAGCTGAGCTAATAATATTATACTCGTTGTTTTAAATTCTAGTTCAGACATCTTACTTATATCTGTAGTGATTCAATTGCTGGCTGTGAGTACTACCTCCTGTTCTTTCTTTTGGGGTGAATTTCTCTGTCTCATCATTTTGTCCAGAAAATAAAAGAATAAAAAGAAAACAGATAAACAAACAACAACAACAAAAAAAACCTAGATCCTGGGCATGTGTTCGGTCTTCTTGTTATAAGAATCTAGATTCTAAACTAAGAAAGTAAAATAAAATATGATGAAAGTAAACAAAAAATAAAAATACATATATAAAAATAAAAATAGAAAAAACGTGAAAAAATGAGAAAATAAATGAAATAATAATAAAAAAAGAATAAAAGTACAAAGGAGGCTAGATACTATTTTCCCCTAGAGCTGAAGCTTTGCAGCCCTCTCTGATCAGTGAACTTTGTGTGAGCTAATTGTTCGTGCTTGTCTTCTGGGGGAGGGGCCCGTTGCACTGATGCTCAGGTGGACTTACCCTAGCAGAAATGTGCCTCCAGGGCACAGGGCAGCAGGGGTTGGTGTAAGTGGGTCTGGACTCCACTAGGTGGTGCTGTTTTTCTCCCTGGAGGCTTTCAGCACTGATGTGTGGGATAAATATGGCAGAGGCCCCCACCCTAGCCCCAGAGTTGGAAGTTTGCACCCTCCACTCTTCAGTGAGCCCTCAGAGAAGAGCAACCAATCACTCTTATCTCCCTGGTTTCTGTCAGAACCCTGCCTTCACCCTGCCTGTGTCCCAGCTTTTTTATTTCAGGTGCGTGACTGAGTTTCAAACACCAAATTTTAGGGACTCCTGTGGCGTGGATCCATACTGTTCCTCCTAGGGAGAACTCACCACACTTCTGCCGTTTGCTGGCCCATCCCAGGAAAGTGGTTGCAGAACCACGACTGCACAGCGGTTCACAGTTTATGGCAACACAGAGCAGAAAGCTGGCACCTAGACTCACTGTTATACTGGGAACAGTATAGCACTTAGTTGCCACCCATTCTTGTGATCCACGGGATCCTCAGACCAGGGTGTCACACCTGGAATTCCACCCTGCTTCACCACCTGAGCACCTTTAAGCTAGGCATGTCCCCTCTCTGATTTTGCATTTCACTACATAAGCAGGCTCCTTCCCCACCACTGCATCCACAGCTCTCTCTCCCCAAATTCAAGTGTCTGAACCTCCTAGCTACCAAAAGGTGGTGGCTTTTCTACTTGTAGACTTGTAGTTTTTGTTCTCTCAGATCTCCGATTGATTTCCTGGGTGTTCAGAGTGATATGATAACTAACTAGCTGTATTCAAGGGACAAGACAAGCTTAGGGTGCCCCTAATTCTCCATCATCTTAACTCCCCCCTCCACAGAGATTTATACATGTGCACTTCTGAGAGTTTTGTTTTTAGCTATGTTTAGCTCATTAGTCCATTTTGAGTTGATTTTTGTATATAGTGTGAAGTAGAGGTCCACTCTTAGTCTTTTGTATGTGGAAAATCAGTTGTCCTAGCATCATTTAAGAACTTGTTCTTTCCCAATGAATGGACTTTGCACCATTTTCACAAATTGACTGGCTATAAATATGTGGGCTTATTTCTGGACTCTCAATTTTATATCATTGGTCTGTTCCTGTTCTTATGCCAGTGCCACACTGTTTTGATTACTGTAGCATTGTAGTAAGTTTGCAATTGGGTAATGTGAATCCTCTGACTTTGCTCTTTTTTAAAACTGTTTTTACTAGTTGGGCCTCCTGCAATTCTATATGAATTTGAAAATTTGAAGACTGGCTTATCTCTTTCTGCATAAAAAGCTGTTGGAATTTTGATAGCGACTGTGATGGATCAGTAGGTTAACTATGGGTAGTACTGACATCTTT